AGCCCCAGCAAGACCAACACCGACCAAGGGCTCAGCTCAGCCAGCCACAGACAGACTCATTCCTGAACAGCAAGGGACATTGAAGAATTTTGTTCAAAAATCCCAACCAACCTCTGGGCAAAATTCTGACAGCAGTAATTTATGGGAGGGAAAAAAAAAAAAAGGCTGCATGTGCCCACCCACCGTTAGCCTCACCTGAGCACGGATGTGGCATTTTAAAAACTTAATCAAGGAAAATTAGTTTCTATGGCAACTAATGGTGCATTTAATAGATGGAGTGATGAGCGCTGTGTATAAGAATGCTGCAAAATACGAGTGGCGGTGATACATCAAATGCTGCACAACCACACCAACATGCAGTGATGCGTTGGGGTGCTCGGAGCTTTCTGTGTAATTAGGACTGAGGCTAAGTTTTGGGGAACAACAGTGTGAAAGTGTTTGCAATTCTCTTCCCTTGCAATAATTACCGCAGCATTATGTTAATTCTCCCCAAAGGACCCATCGATATTGATTAGACCTCAACAAATAGTTGTAGACGCCCCATCCCTGGAGGGGTTCAAGGCCAGGCTGGATGAGGCTTTGGGCAACCTGGGCTAGTGGGAGGTGTCCCTGCCCACGGCAGGGGGTGGCACTGGATGGGCTTTAAGGTCCTTTCCAACCCAAACCATCCTGTGATTTTGTGAAATTTTGAACAAAGTTTCAAAACAGTTTCCAGTTTGCAAGTGCAGCCACCAACCTGAATGCTTGAGTTTCCCTATATCCCCCTGCCCGTAACCAATCGGAGGGAGAATTCTGTGGCATGTAGTGGGAAGCTAGTAAGAGTAAATCTGAAGAAGTGTGTTCAAAGAGAGGCCCCTACAGAGCAGCGTCATTTCAACTTGGAGCAGATCACAAAGCGGCATGCGCGAGTCATCAGCCTGCTACAGAACGACATCAATTGATCGAACAGTTAAAAGCAAAGCCTAGGAAGACAAAAAGGCATAAACGTGCACTTTGGTAAAGCATACAGGAGCACTGACATGAAAGAGAAGAAAAAAAAAAGAAAATATTCATTCCTCCTCCTAGACTTGCAATAAGCATCCACCCCGGAGAGCCTCAAGGATGCCAGGAGAGGGCTGAGCTGGCACCACGTCATGCACACCCGCACCAGCCTCACGGGCTAATGTCTTTTTAAAGCCATGAGCATACCCTTAGCAGAAAAACTCTGTTAGCAGCACTTTGTCTTTGCCTTTTTGTTGCAGTTTTGAACCCAGCTGAGAGCCAAACGCTACAGAGCTGCTCTCTCACCCTCCCCTATCCCCAGGGATGGGGGAGAATTAAAAGGGTGAAAGGAAAAAAGACTTGTGGGGTGAGATCAGAACAATTTAATAACTACAATAATATTGGAAATAATAATAATGATGATGATAATAGTGATACATACAAGTGAGTGACACTGCTCACCACCCCATGACCAAGGCTCAGCCTGTTCCCAGCCAACGATCCCGGAGCAGGGAGAGTCCCGAAACCGCAATCCCAGAATGGAGATAAGAGCCCGAGTGTACGAGAGACCGAGACGACCCTGAGAGAGGGGCGACCCGGAGGGAGACAACCCGGAGCAAGAGAGAGCCCTTCCGGCCAGAGCCTCCCCTCTCTCCTGGGCATGCCGGGCATGGGATGGAATAGCCCATCGGCTCATTTTAGTTAATGTGTGTTTCCTGCCTGTTTCTGAGTTGGGAGGAGGGAATACAGTGAACACTGATGGGGGATTTTATAAATGCCTTCTGCAGGAGTGCTTACTTCTTACAGCGTTTAAAACAAAAGGAGTTCCTATGTATGCCAATGATAATTGAAAAAGTTTGAGAAACACATGCAAGTTGAACAGCATTCTTAGAATAGATACATAGTTACATATTTTATAAACTCACTTCCCAGGGTTTGATAAAATATCATTTTGAAAATAATTTCCATACGATTTGCAAACCAAATACGATCACCTTCTGTGCAAAAATCGGTAAAAAATTGAAGCACTGAAAAGACTGGCAATTACCACAACATGCGGATGGAAGTCTCTTGCATAAAAGAAGAAAATAAAAATGTATTTTCCCCACTTCCATCTGCAGGGAGAATAGGCAGCACCCTGCCAGATACTTCTCCTCAAACCCATCTCATATTGAAGGCTGTCTGAAAATAAGAATCCAACAATATATTATCAAGTTCCATATATAAATTCTGCACATATATATAAGGAAGGCTTAAAATTAAATGCCCTATCACCCCTGGCAGCCAGCCACTGCTTCGTAGTCACAGCAAACACCCTGCAGCCCTTCCCCTAAAGAACCAGGTCCATAAAGCAGAACATATCCAACAAACAAACAAAAAAATATATTATCTGTATTTAAAATACCCAAGAGTAATAATTGGCGGGTAAGAGTAGTTCCCCAACAGCTGGGAAGAGCCAACACCAGCCCACTGATTTTCCATCCACCCCAATCGGTGCTTTCCCCAGCAGCCCCATATGGCAATGCAAAAAGCTACAGTGACTTAGACTTTAAAAAAAAAAAAAAAAAACCACCAAACACACCAAAACAAAACAAAACAAAAAACCACCACACCACAACCCAAATTTCTGGAGCACTGAAACAGAATGGAAATTTAATAGGAAGGTGATAAAAAGGCCAATGTTCAAATGCAGCCCTGCCAGGCCTCCGGTATTTTGCTGCAGAATCACCCATCTGAGACTACCAAAACTATCCCCCTGCTCTCAGGCAATGAATCTGCAAAAAATATTGCGAGTCTCGGAGAGCTGTAACATGAGAGCGAGTGTGAGAGAGCAGACCGAGGTGCTGGCTGGCCCGGAAAATCTCTAAACAGGTAAAATGAAGCAAAATCAATTTTGCATCTTGAATCACAGGTGAGAAAATAGAATTTTTTATGGGGAAAAAAAAAAGCAAAAAAAAAAGCCACATGGTTGCTTTCTTGAGAAGACTGTTTGGTTGCACAGCCTTTTTTTTTTTTTTTTTCTGATTCAACAGCATCATAAGCTTTGTTAGTCCTTGAGATGGCATCTTCCATAGCTGGTCCAAAGAATTTTCCCAACGGATAACACCCCCACGTGCTTTGAAGCTGCCTCAAGCCTCCAGGCAGGTTTGAGAGTGATTTCTGATTTCAGCCACACCAAACCTCGCAGGCTGCTGGTCAGCTTTGGCAGAGAAAATGGTTTGAGAAAGAAACATCCTCCAAGGAAGCCCGTGGGAAGTATGAGTCCACCCTCCTCCTGCTCTTTTCTGCCTGCAGATGAAGGTGCTACCTACTGACCTCCACCCCAACACCCAACAGGCTTGGGATCTTAAAATGTTGTTAAATAAGCCTGGATGAGAAAAGTTTGGGAAGGTGGAAACGTTGATATTAAAACATTATTATCAGCTTTTATGAGCATGGTCTGTATCAGCCCAGGGTCCCTCACTCGGCTCTTCCATCGAGGAGCCACCAGCGTCCTCCTCACCTTTCCCCTGCCAACGGTCAATGAGGCACCAGCCTCCCATGGCATGAGCACCACTGCAGCACAGAGGGTGATCCGCAACGGGAGAGAACATGATGGCAGGGCAAGAAATACTCTTCACACCTTGTGAGGTGCTGAATATTATTCATACTAAAAGAACTGATTTTAAAACACCAGTGTTCTTATTTGGGGTTTTATCAAAACATCTGGACACATAGCCCACTCTAGGAGGGTAGTTTTTTTTCAGCTTTTTTTTTTTCTTTCAGCTGGTAAAAGCTAGACAGAGATCACTGAAATTAAAAGAAAAATGGCTTGCTTCATAACTTTAAGTTGACTTTAAGGTGACTGCAACTTAGAGAGCACAACTGTGTGCAGTTGGAGTTTTCTAAGACACAGCCTGACCTATGCCTTCCCTGGAACCAGCATGAGCTAAACGTCAACTTCCTTATTTTTAAATCTTCTCATTAAATCAGAAACAGCTATGGAATAACTGGCAGAGAATCAGCACATCCCTCCTTCATGAAGGAACATCAGTCACCTGCAGACTTGACGCCTCCCAGTGAACCCCCCTTCCCCAGCTCCCGCCTGTCCTACGCGATTGCAAGAGAGGTGGTTAATTCACCAAAGGAAATCCTTGTGAGATATTCTAGTGTTCAAAAACTCACACAAATAGATGTGCTGTGAAACGTGGCAATCCCAGCTGATTACAGATGCACCTCGGTACTCAGCTCCTTTACCAAAGTGGCAATGGTCACTTTGAGGGAACTGAGAGCAGGTTTGGTTCAAAAAGGAAAGGAAAAAATGGAAATGGAAAAGCAGAACCAGGGAGGGAATAAAGCATCACACCTGCACAGGTCTTGGAAGGTCTTAAATTAATTTAAAATAACCTATTAATGAGGTACTCTGGGCAAAGGGGGATGGCAATGGAAGGGACAGACCACAGAAGCCGTAGCACAGGCTGACAAGTGTCTTTGGCTTTGAATGGGATGCTATGAAACAAGAGTTAGGCATGAAAAAAAAGTAACTTATTTCTGTTTAACTTTTGCTTTCTGCAGGGCTGCAATGCCATGTTTCCTACAACATCTGAGACCCATGCGCACAGTGAGACCCCCTGAGCTCTTGTGTGCCCCTTCCAGCTGTTCACTCTGGTGCCTGCTGCCTACATTCAATTTCCCTCATCCTCGTATTTGTTTTTCCTTCCCTTCTATCAATCCTGATGATATTCCAAGCTCTCACATCAGGACCCCACACTACAGCACAACACTGACCTGCTGATTTTAATACCACCTCCCTAGCCAGTCATTTAAAAAAAAAAAGCCATAAAAACTTTTCTGCTGTTGATAGTTCTTCTGCAACACCCCAACATCAAACCAACAGCCTGGACAATTCCCCCTCCTCAGATCCTGTTGCACTGAGCTCTACCACCCTGCACCAGCCTAGTTCTTAGCAGGAGACAACACCGAAGAGGAAAGGCACAGTGACCCGCGGCGGGCTGCCATCGGTCACGGCAGGGGCTCACCTGTGGCCGAGGATGGCCGGTGACCAGGCAGGTCAGCTCCAGTGTCTCGCCCTCGCGGATGGTGTAGACCCTCTCGGAGTAGCGTTCCTCCTCGATGTTGCACGCCAGGCCCGAGTGCACGATTCGCACCGTGGGGGGGGCTGCAAAGACCCAGAGAGAAAACCAGGTGAGCATCATCTGGGGCTTTGCTCAGACCCATCTCCACCCCTGCACACCCCCGACCGAGGCTGGAGCTGAGTATTTTCACCATGGAGAATATCTTTGCTTACTCAGCGTACGCGCATTCGGCAGCAGCAGAGATTTCCGCGGTATTTATTCGTACCTCGCAATCCCCCAAACGAAACCTTTGCAAACTCATCTGCATTCCAGTTATTTGAGTTCCTATTTCCAAATGAACTCTGCGTTATTGTTCTTTTTTTATTATATATCTTTCTAAATGTATTATCGCAGTCATTATGCAAATGAGAAGCCTTAATTAAACCATTAAAATTAAGCAGCAGAAGCAGCGGGACTGGTGCTGTTTCCTTTCAAAGTCGATACCAAAATCCTGCTGCTGTCAGAGGGATCGGGATTTGGACCAAAGGTTAGGTTCAAGCAGAACCCTTACTTTAATTTTCTTGTATATGCAACCTGAACTACAGGAATTTATGCTGGTTTACATGTTGCACCTGTAGGAAAACTACCATGTTGTTGCTAATACCGCGAGTACAAATTACAGCTCTGTTTCAGCAAGTCTCCAAAGCGTGTTCCTGGCTCTACAATCTTCTTTATTTCCAACCCATAAAAATCACAACTATTAAAATTTTCAGAGAATGGATGGATAGGATAAAAAATTGAGTTACAGTCCTGCTGCCAAATAAAGTAACACAAACTAAAGAGCAGAAGAAATCAAATGTAATTCTGCTGAGTTTTAAACCCCCAGTATTTCACCCTCTATAGGCAACAGCACGCTGCTCCTGTGCAGTAAAAGAGGATTTGCCTTAAAGTCCTGACCAAAGGCTTAAATCCCAACCAGAAAGCAGAACAATCAGAGCTGAGCCCAACAGGACTCGAAGTACAACTCCCCTCCCATCAGCACGCTGTTACTGGTCCCACTCCCAGCTCACACAGCCCGTGGGCTACCAACTCCTGCGCAATGCCTACACTTCATACAAGCCTGCTAATAATTCAAATTTCTGACCCTCGCTCACCAAAGGCTGGAAAAAATGAGACTCAAGCAAAGGACCCTGAACAGGACAGTGTCAGGTCAACTGAAATGAACAGGGAGAGAATAATTATTTCAGGCTGTAATGACTAAGCCTGGTGTTCCCAGGTACCTTGCGTTGCCCCGTCCATCTCAGTCTGCTATATTTAGATCATTTATCAGTGTGCTTGGCCTGGGTTAATATCTTCAGCAAGTATTTCAGAAATCTGTCCCCGGCAGAGCACCGGCACAGGCAGAAGAGCTTATGCAAGGTAAGGATGTTCCCTGCATCGTTGGTGTGCTCACACATCCAATGGTATAAGGTGTCAGAGGTCCGGAAGACGATCAGATCAGCAAAGACAACAGCTTGGTAGGGCTGCTCAAGACTAAGTGTTGGGGTTTTACACCACACAGCTGCTCTCTCACCCTCCTCCATCCCAGAGATGTGGAAGAGAATTAAAGGGGTGAAGGGAAAAAGAGACTTGTGGGGTGAGATAAGAACAATTTAATAACTACAAAAATATTGTAAATAATAATAATGATGATAATAACAGTAATATACCTGAGTGACACACAGTGACACTGCTCACCACCCCATGACCAAGGCTCAGCCTGTTCCCAGCCAACGATCCCAGAGCAGGGAGAGTCCCGAAACCACAATCCCAGAACGGAGATAAGAGCCCGAGTGTCCAAGAGACTGAGACGACCCTGAGAGAGGGGCGACCCGGAGGGAGACAACCCGCAGCAAGAGAGAGCCCTTCCGGCCAGAGCCTCCCCTCTCTCCTGGGCACGATGCTTTGACTGGGTCTCAGCTTTGCTTTCCTGCTGCTCAGGAGAACTGTTTTGCAGCCCCAGTGCCCTCCCCATACGGTTACACAGCTGACACTTTGCCAGGCTACAGATACCATTTACTGCTCAGAAGAAACAAATCACATCTATCCTTCCCTTGGAACCATGGGTCCAGGCTGCTCTTCCCATGGAGCTCACTGTTCCTCCTGCAAGGACAGAGATGTCCTTCTTTAGGAATCAGTCTCATATCTCACACTTCGTAAAAGAACCTGTTGATTCTTAATTATTATTATTTTTTTCAAAGTAGAACAGCAGCACTAATGCTAGGTGTACTGCAGCTTTCCCTGTGCCAGGAGAGCTGCTCCCCCTCCACATGTCCCAAGAGTTCAATGCCATGGGACATGGAGGGTCCTCCTGGTTCTGCCACCCACCGCCGCTGTACAACGGGGCTCTGGGCCAGGATTGGGGCTTTTATAGCCTCCCATGACACATATAATATAACACTGAAGTGCTAAAGCAGAGCCACAGAGCAGAAAGGTAAAACAAGGTTCAGCATAGTTCATGAGGCTTCTGATAAAATTAGAAGAGTCAGCAACATTATGCCAACATCCTGCTGCCTTTTAAATCCATATTACATTAATATTACAGTTATGTTCATATTATATTCATAAAACTTCAAATTACATTTGAAGTGTCCTTCATTTTAGTGTCTGTACTACTGCTCCACAGCCGTTAGGTTTGGGAAGGCAATAGAGAAAAGGAAAAATAGCCCCCTGGGGATTATAATGGCAAAAGTATACACTGCTTTAAGAGGAAATCAAATGAATAAAGGAAAATAAAAAAACCTTCTTATTTCTTTACGATTTCAAGTCTTATGGACATTGCATAACTATGAAATGTCACTTCCCTCTCTACCGCACGAATATTCATTACAGCTGCTTCTGAAATACGCCTCCAAGCACTTAATACCAGACGAAACATTAAAGTAACACATACTTAGCATTTATTTTCTTTGTGGCATTTTGGAAGAACTTGTCTCATGATTTTACACCCAGTAAATATTGCGTTCAAGCATCCATCACGGTGCTGTTCCCAGCAACGCGTAGGCACAACACAAGGAAAGACAAGTGTCGGGTCCGAAGGAAAAGCCATCACCACAAACCCAGGAACAACCCCGCCCAGCTTTTGCTGCAAAATTCCTGTGGCACCACGAGATTTCTTTTTTCAGACGAGAAATGGTGCCAGCCTGACCTTTCATCAGATCTCATTATATATTGACGGTACATAGGTCCCCTTTATTGGCTGCTCTTTTCCTGCAATTTCAATTTTATTTCTCTTGCAGACACGTACACGCCTACACCAGCAACTGGGTCTCAACGAGCATTCCCCAAACCTGGGAGTGGGGAAGTAATAAAAATTCCAGTGAAGGCAAAATTAGAAACGTCCAAAGCCGAATATGTATGTGGGTATCTAGACACACTTAATAAAAAAAAGAGAAAGAACAAACCAGATGCTGTGATGATTGCTAGCTAACTCCGAAGGGAAATAGAGAATAAAATTTATTTTCTAAAGCAGTGGAGGACTAAATAGAAAAGTTTTTTTCAAACCAAGCTGGTCACCCAGAAAAAAGGAAATAACAAAGTCAGAGGAAGTATAGTACTCAGAAAAGAGATGTGTCGTGACTTACAGTACGTTTGTGGAGCTGTGGTGTAAGAGACCTTGGACAACCGCAGTGCTCCAGTCTGCCTTCCTATTTAATTCTCTTAACCTTAATGACAACATTACAATAACTGGTATTTTTCTAAAAAAGCTCAACTGCTGTCATCTTATTAGTAAACGATCATTTCAGCTCTTATTGAAAAAAAAAAAAGCTTTCAGGCTATGTGATTGTGATTGCACTGTTTCCTAACCACCCCAAACAGAAGACAAGCAGAATTGACAAAGCATTTCTTCATGATTTCTAAATTAACCTCAACAGTTTCTAGGGCATGAGATGTTTGTTCACATATGACTTTATGACATCATCAAATTAAAAACAGCTCAAAAGGTAAATGACTTTTTTTGATAAGAGGTTTGAACCTCCAGCCTCCAAAAGGTTTGAACCTTTTGAACCAAAAGCACCTTCAGATTCTCAATCTTCCAGTGGTGGCTGGAAGGTGAAGCCTTCCTCCTCCTCTTCCCCATGCCCCCAGCCACCTCCACCTTTTGGTATGTGCTGATCCATCCTGCATCTACACACCTGGACTTGCACGCATCAGACCAAGAACAACAAAGACATAGCACAAAACCTTTGCAAGAGTTTGCTCCTGGGTTTCAGCAGCACAACCCTGGGGTCGTGCCAGCTTCAGGGGGACCCCAGCAGCTCACTGCAATGAGCAGGAGAGCAGAGCATGCTCCTGAGATGCAACAGGGATCTCTTCGTTACTCCACATCACTTTAAATAAGAAAGAAATCCTTAAGAGAGACAAGGATCTCAGCCCATATTCATGTCTGGAGAGTTATCATGACCTTTTTCCCATCCCTCTGCAAACTGGAGCATACCTACCATTGCGGAAAGAGGCAATGACACAGACCGTATGCCATAAATCAAAAGTTTTTAATACTTGCCCAGCAGGAAGAACAATAACCAGCAGTGTAATGAGTTGTAAGGGAGGAAAAAAAAAAAAATAAATTTATCTGTTCCTAGAAACAGCATTATGGTTCCCCTAACTCAATAGATACTCTGCTGATAAGCTTTGTAGTGCCAAAATTAGGTCAGCCTGGGACAGTCATGTTGGGAAGCAGCAGCGTGATTTAATTAGCTCGGTGCCGCCTTATGTTAGTGCTATCAATCAAAGAGGCTTCCCGAGCTCCGGAAACACCATGTGAGTCACAGAGATATGGGTGAATATCAAACAATGTGGAAAAAAACAGTCCAACCGAAGAGGGAAAAAAGTTGACCTCATCCTTCTCTTGCTAGTCTGGTCGGTGAGGTCAGCTCAGAAGGGGAGAGTACGCGATAGATGGATGCTACCATGTGCATAAAGTGAAAGCAGGTAGGAAATATTCAGTACTGATACACAGGAGCCTTTTAGATTATGGACTTCTACCTGCTATCTCCCTACCTACTCAGGCTGAAGGTAACATATAGCCATAATGCTATTTAAAAAATAAAATTAAAACAATAAA